ATGACCGACTTTCTATTAACCTCGTCATTGATTGATACTTCACTTCTTTTCTTCGATAAGCAATCATGAGGTTGATATTAAAGAATTTATTAGCATACAACAGCTGACGTTCCGGCGGTTTCCTCTGGCTAACAGTCTGGACTGACTGACAGTTCTCGCTAATGTATTACTCTCTCCAGAAATTAATTGGAATACTTGCAAAGAATAAAACGGCTCTGAAAAAGGTGAAACCGCCGAAACGACAGCTGCTGTATGCTAATAAATTCGGTAATATTAACATTGTGTTTGCTCATCAAAGAAAAATAGCTTCTGTAGATTCGTCAAACATATGTTTAGTCCACTGTTTTCGAGACGAATCATATGCTATCTAAAGGTTTTCCACACACACAAGACATCCTATCGCATCAGAGGCACAGCATACCCTTCTCAGATGTACTCATCACTGTTGCAACCGAATGATTACCATAACGAATTTTCATCTAATAATTTCTCATCGTCTCTAATGACTCATTTGAGGAATGAATCGATGTTGTTGCGAATGGAAAAGCAATCGCAGGAAAGAATTTGCCTATCCAATTTTTGCCTTCCGTGACCATAACCTCCGAAGGTGAAGGATTTCAAATTACCATTCGGAAACCTGTTTGGGAGTAGGTCAAAGCAAACAATCACCATTGTCTTGGTAATATCCGAGTCACAACGTCGCAAATAACCTAATCTACCGCCGTGCCACAAGCTCCTGCGAATGTTTGTAGTACAAGAAAGGAAATTTTGTCTATCTAGCAAATAACCAGTAAACTGGAAAATTTTCTGATAGCCGTAGGATATTATGAAAAGTCCTCTTATTTCTTCGCATCTAAGGGAAAATCGTGGAAGCATATGACAACGGATGTAGATAAAAACCTTTAAATTGAATACAGATACCACATTTTTGAGGATGATAGCAAGTTACTCTATTAAGAGATAAAAACATGACGAGCTTTTGGAAAACGCAATATTTATGGGTAAAAACCACATGTATTAAAAATTTAAGCTACTGAATGGCAAAATCCTTCCAGATTATTAATGCTGAATTATTAATTACATTTTAAATCCTCTTGGAGTATTTCGTCTAGTAACAACTTTTCCGAGATTGCTAATGAAATTCACCTACACCAACAGGTATTTCGGCGGTCGGACATTCCATTGAAGTTGTGTGGGAACCGCTACAGCTTTTGTTTTATTGAGTTTCGCGCTTGTGGATTGTCGCAAATGATAAGAACGTGCAATTATCCACTTCCCGTGAATGCGGTTATCCCATTTGTCATCATCGATGTCAAAGACACCATCTGCATTAGAGTTCTTATTTCTGAACTTCTATCCAGGTTCTCATAACAAATACTGTAATTAACAAGACATGACTCTGGAAACTGGATTTTTTGAAGTTATAGGAACTGAAACGCTTCAACGATTTGCTGTCTCAACACAGTTAAAGCTCGTGGGAAACCTGATTTATATTCCAGCGTTCTCTACGATCACAAGGTCATCAAGCTGAGGAATCTGACGTTACCACCTCAGATGGGAATACAACTACGCCACAAATTCTCACTATTTTGGAAGCAATATAGTTGCAAGGTGGTCTATGATCCACATGGCACCATGGAATAAACACCTGAAAAGCCCACACTGAGCAATCTACGTACTCCTAGAAAAAAAATTTACCCTCTTCAAAAGAATGGAGATTAAACCAATTGTGGTAGTGTATATAGAAATCCTTCATGCTCTTTTGCAAAGTGCACCAAATTGGCAATTCCACTATTCCTACCCCTGCATAAAGATACCTCTCTATAGCAGCATTTCGTCGGATTCGTACATTCACCACGACAAGGGACTTCTTGTTATCGCTATGAGAAAATTTTAAGCAAAAATTAACATGCATCGTAACAATAAAGTTAAAAAGAATAAAAAATATTTATGCCAAAGGTACACCTATTAACGTATCGAACTGAATACGTTAGACCTCACATGACAAGTACAGATAAGCCGCTATCTATTAGTATTAAAGTAGAAAAGCGAGTTCATCCAAAATAAAACAACAGTCCAAAACAAAGAAATGTGCCAATGATTAAGTACACCAAACAAAGGAACGTTATACAAATGAGCTAAGCAAGTTCAGCTGTACGTAACTAAAACACATGTAACATTCTTAAGTCAATGTGCTAAACCAAATACAAACATTCGGAATGCGATAACTTCGCAGAATATGTAAGCAAACAAGGGTCTTGAACTAGTGTCAAGTTGATTTAAATCAGCCTCTATGAACTATACATATATACATATACATGTATATACATGTTACACATATATACATGTACGTATATATATGTATATATATATATATATGCCAGAGCGGACACCGCAGTGATTGTGATGTCCGTAAACATGAGAATGGTGTTAGTTCGATTCCGCTCTGGGTCATCCAAGTCTGACATTCGTCCGGCGTCGAGAAATTCGTATCGGACTTGTCTTGGAAAAAAATCACTTTCTGCAATCCAAATACGAATGATCCAGCCCGTCTATCTCAGGACACCAGGGAGAATTGCTCGATGAGCATTCTACGACACTCAAGATGAAATGAAAGCCCTCAAGCACCAACTGAAGCCACATGTAAAAGTTGAAAGACCTTTGTGGACAATGGATGCAAGGAAACGTATCGAATGTGACAAGTGCTGAGATCCGCAAGGTAAACGTGAAGATGGGTCAAAGAAAATAAAATAAATAAATAAATATACATGTATATATGCACATATATCTTGTAGTAGCTATCGACCCGTTGATCGTCAAGAGGATCGAGTGAGCGCCAGTAAACCTTCTGCTTCTCCTTGTCACGTACAAAAGTAGTCCAGTGTGTTCTGTTTGCGCTAGAGACTCGTTAACCATCATATCTTTCTTGCAGTTTTCGTGAGCAACTGTGACCACCAGGCCGGCGGTGTTCACGGTGTGCGTTTGAAATCCCGAGGAATTCACTCGCTAATGGCTCCTGAGCGTCGATTGTCGTTCATACGCATTACGTGTTAGGGTTTCCATATCATCGATGGCGTGCCAAACGCCATCTTTGAGTCTTCATTGTCGACGTAAGTCGGTGATTCGGTTTCCCTCTCTCACTTGTGTGATATGCGATACCCTTAACATCCTCTTGCACGTTCCATGACGCTCAGTGATCCCTCATCCTGCTTATGTAGCGATCAGGTTTTTAAAGTAAATATTAAGACAAGAAGAATCGTGGAGTCGAATAGGTGGACACGGAGTTGGGTGTTCTTTGCTCTTTTCACTGGATGCCCGATGCTCTTTGAAGCACCCCAAGACGCTCCCTTCCTCCTGTTCAACTCTGAAACAAAGTCGTTCATGACTTTTCGTCCTTGATAAGCTTAGCTGGAGCATTTGTAGATATTCATTCCGTTGAGCCTGAATGAGGCATACGAAATCAATCCGTTCTTTACGGACATCGTTTCTATGGGACTTAGTCACAGACGAATCTTTCTACCAGCGTTATCAAAGCTACTAAACATTCTTTCTGCCTGGCTAATGCTTGATGTTACAAGAACGATTTCATCAGCAAAGCTAAGATAGTGTAATTGCTGGCCATCGATTTTCACTCCCATGCTTTCCCATTCCAATGCTCGCACGACGTTCTCGACGGTCGTGGCAAATATGGTGTGATAGTGCCGCCTTGCAAACCCCTCTCTTATATAGACGTTAATTTGTTATGTAGCTCACGAATAACCGTTGCATACTAAGTAGGGAGTTCTTGCCCATCCAGGGCTTACGTGACTGATTCTATCTCAACTAAGTCAAAAGCTTTCCTTAATCGATGAACGTGAGATAGAGCGGTCTCCTGTACTCTAGCGATACTTCAGTGAGTTTTGTCATCCTGCGGATTTGGTCCACTGAAGTCAATCTTTTTCGAAACTCTGCTTATTCGTGTCCTTCATGGCTGTCCTTCGTGTAGTATCCTTTCCTTCAGCTTGGCATGGCTCGAGTGAAGAGTTTGTAGACGACGTACAGCAAGCAGATTGAGCGATAGCTGCCGACATCGTGGAAATTTCGTAAAGAACAACACAGTGTTGCTGGTCTTCCACATCTTCGCTGGCGTATCAGCTCGGGTGTTTCTGGAGACAAACGTCTGTTGGTGACTTTCGAACTCTCAGCTTTCATACCGCTATGGTGAAGATGTTGAATGAGCCGGTCGTATTCTTCGTCGATGTTATCGATAAGGGCATCTTCTCAGAAGCCGACTAATGATTTAAATAATTCCCAGTTTATGATGGTTCTGGGATTTCGGTCTTTGAATTTATCGGATTTCCTTCTTTCCACGAGAAATAGAATCTTGCACGAAGGAGATGGTGGTCTGATCCCATGTAGAATTTCGGAGCAACAGCGATATCAGTTAAAACAAAATCTTCGATTCAGTGGTAACATTGTAGAATGCAAGGTCTTCTCTGTAGAACTTCTCCAAGCCCGTATAGAGCGTTCGAGTTCGTCTTTGTTACAGCTTGACGTAGGTGCGTAGATAGCGAAGAATGTCAAACCAACTATTGATTCACACCATCTCTTCAACCATAAACGTCCGATTCGGGTTGTTCGTTGCTCGAATGAATCGATGTTCACGGCGAAACTTGTGTTTACGGGAACGCCGACCCCAGCGACTCCTCTGGCGTCGCATGTTCAGAGAAACCTAACTGCCTCCTACATACATCCCACTTACTTGGTTTGAGACTTAGGCCGATTTGAGTCGTAGAGTACAATTCACACAGAAAAGAACATACCCAAACACGCATGCATGAATACGTCCTCACTTACGCGGAAGATATGCGCAAATCGACTAAGCAGAAACAGTGAGTCCATTCAAAGATGAGGTCATTTTTGGTCTCTGATTAACAGCAATATACATGGCATCCATCCTCGCGTTCGAATATGGCTTGCATTGCGGAGTCATTCGACACGTTTGTATAAAGGGCGGTAAGTCAAAGGACTCCATCACGCACGTGCTGCTGGGCTGCGCAGTACGTAGACGATGCAGAAATATCTGGATATCGTAAGATGGGCTGCAATGTGTTTCAACAACTGATTAAATATTAGGGTTAAAAACAATGTTGTCCTATCCGTTGGCCCGTCCACGCAGCTAATGATAGGTCTAACATTAAATAATGATGAATCAGTAGACGCAAGATCATCGCTGGATACTAACTCATAAGTTTTTATAAGCAAGTACAAGACGGGATATGTTGGTAAGTCAATTTTTAATTTAGAGATAATTGATGGTTTTAAGCCACTAGACATTGCCATTTTGACCGTCCTCCTCTTACCCCTCTCACACGAAAAGGGCGCTTATAAGAAACATGTTTCGAACAGCAACCAACGTGTGCACGGGAAGAGAGCAGAGAGAGGAGTCCCGGAACTTGGCACGGCAAATAGCCATTTCTAATGGCTACGAAACTGTAGCTCAGGATAGGTGTAGAGGAAATCGTAGGCCTCCAAACGACAACTCTAGCGATAGAAGGGTCCCGTTTATCCTACCCTTCATCTCAAATGATATAAGTACAGCTATAAAACGCTGCTTAAGAAGGGCGGGCTTAGAGAATTCGGTGAGCGTAGTTGAAATACCACCGAGTAATCTTAAGCGCCAGCTAGTTCGTAACCGCCTATATGACCGTCTATGTGCAACTCAAAATTGCATAATTTGCCCCAGTGGTAGAGACGGTGATTGCATGAGCTCGGGTATAGTTTATCTGATCTCCTGTAAGGCGTGTCGTGACGAATACATTGGCGAAACGGGTAGACCCCTCTGTGTCCGCATGAAAGAACACCTAGCCGGCAAAAATAGACCAAATACCCCGCTAGGCACGCATAGGACCCAGAGACATAACGGGGACGACCTCGAAGTATGTGTCACGATCCTCGCACGCGAATCAAGAGCACAGGCGCGAAAAACTCTCGAGGCACTCTGGATTAATTCCAGAAATCCGAAAATGAACCGCAGGGAAGAATGCCTCATTATCACGCGTGATATAGGGCAGTATATAAAACTGCTTTTCTGATGTGAGGGGCACATTATACTTCCATGTGATTTCTGTGCGTTTGGTCTCTACGTGACATACTGAGTGGAAACCTCATAGGAAGCGGTGAGTGTGCAAAGCTGTGTTCAAAGTGATTGAAATCTTGGTTTGGAGTTTCTTTGTTTGGTTATGGAGGCGTCTGGCCGAGTAGATTGCTATCAACTTGACCTTTCCAGGCTCTGAAGAAGGCGAAATCCGCCGAAACGTCAGCTTAATCGTGAACAAAGAATAATAACACCTCGCGTTTGCTCAACAAAAATACGAAGAAAATTACTGTATTCTGTTTTGGCCGATCACGGCTCTCATCTGAAAATACGATCCCAGGTTTGTGTGGAAGAATTGCAGCATTCACTAGATAGATGAAATCGAATTCATGACGCATCGTTCAGGAATTGATGCCGTTGCCGCTATTTTTCCAAACGTATGCGGAATGAATCCTACTTTTTCACCACGCTCCGTAAGCAATGAACCCAACTTGTGCTATCGCAAATGTGCTCTACAACAAAAACAACTTTGTGCCTTTCAAATCAGCAAGTCTTTTGTAGCGGTATTGCGCCACGTGACTCACACAGACGACCATACTCGCCCTAACAACTGTTTTTCGTGGATTGTAATATATAGAAAACAGCTTTTCTCGGACCAGCAATACCGGCGGTTATATCTGGAGTTTTAAACCTGTCAACTTAGTAGAAAATGTATTGCAAAAAGGGTAGGAAACAGTAATAAAAAGAAACAATGTACGTACAGAAATAAACAGCTACGTGGAAATTCTTCATGTGAAACTGGATTAACTGCATTCTCTTCCTTTCTACTATTTTACTAACAGCATAGCGTTCATTTAAAGAAAGAAAAACTATGTGGAAAACATTGGAGAGCAACACCTATGCTCTAGTATTATTCAACAACAAAAAACGCGTAATATTACGTAGTGGCAATATTATGAAGAGTAAAACTCACTTTCTTATCTTCTGCAGAAAGCATTCGAAATTGTTGAGTGCAAAATTTCATAAAATCTTCAGGATTTCCACTGAAGATATCCCGCAGTGATTCTTCGTTACTTTCCATCCACAGTGAATACGCCGTACTACAAAAGCGGGTGTTTCACTACAGTAAAGGAAAAAAGATTAATAAATGTTCTTCTGGAAAAAATATACCTTGCGTTTTCTTTATTCTTGCTAGTTGCGGATTGAAATTGCAACTTCAACTGTTTCGATGTCGACGACCTCGGAGTCTGCAAGAATAGTTGGAAATGTGATCTTATCGGATTGTAACAATTGTGGTGATTTACTTCTTCCTCTTTTGCTCTCTTTTTTTTTGTCGTGGTAGTGTTAACGTCGAAGAATGATGGGGTGTTTGTAGAAGGTCCTGATTTCTAAAGTACCGAAATGATAGGTTTTACAAAGAAAAACGAAAAAGTTAAGTTCATAACAAATGTTTATTTATATCCTCAAAAATGTAATAGTTTGACGCCGCGTGGTACACACATCTGATTTATCATGTCTGTTCTAAACGATCCTCATGATAAGTAGACTCTTTACGGGATAAACTGATAAAATGATCTAAATTTTCAGTAGCTGAGAACCTAAACGGATGAAATGTCATTATCGCAGAATTAAAACTACAACTTTCTACCACCGGCTTAACATTAAGCATATCTAATGCGTCAATGAGCCCCTTAACCAAAATAAATTCGATATAATGATTCTTTTTAGTAGTTGAGCTATCTAAACGGATCCGATGTGGCAGAATAAAGGTAGTTTTACGAAAAAAAACATTTTGCCTCAAAATATAAAAAAGGAGCTTAAACAAAACCGCAGCATATGCTTCGGAGCAGAAAAACAGGTAGTTACATACCTTGAATGGATTTCTATTATATCTAGGCATAGGAACAACGCTTTCGGATGATAGAGTCTCATTAACTTGCTGATTGACACTAGATTCTTGTGACTGGATATCGTCACTTTCATCGTTGAAGTCCGATGCTGATTCCGAAACATTTAATGCACCTTCTTCCATGCTTATCTGAATAAGGACATTAAAGCACCTACTTCAGAAACAAATGCGGAAACAGTTAACCATAAGACATAGAAAGATGAACAAAAAAAACCAACAGGTTTTGGATGCAAGACGTCTAATTTCCGTTTTATTAAAAAAGGACGAGGTGTTGGTTCTTTCTCGAGAGTGCTGCAACCATTAGAGGATACCAGTTCACTCAAAGGAATATTTTCGCGGCCGTATGAAGCAACCTAAACCCCTGTGTTAGAGAAAAACACAAAGATTGAATAATACGAAAACATATAGGCTCAGTGGACAATGTTTTTGGCACACCTTATCTGCTAATGTAGACTTCTTTAGCTTCGCAGCATAGTTACACATCATCAGAATACCTTTCGCTGATGTGACAAAACCAGAGAGCTCTGCAGCTCGACCATCTCTTTCACTTTTACAAGCCAATGCAAACAACTTTATGAGTGATTTAAGGTGATTAGAAGTCAATTCCTGCAACAAATGTTTCGAGAATACTAAGCGAATCTGGGGTAAAATAAATTAAGGAAACAAATTGCGAAATTTTATTGTCGGAAAATATTTTTCACAATTATCCAAGAATAATTCATATGGATATAATTGGAAAGAAACTTGATAGAAGAATATATGATGGAAAATACCGGAATTTCGTGCTGTATGGTTTCATTGACGCACTACTAACCGTGAGATCCGAAGATAGTCCAGAGGAAAATGATTCACTTTGCTGTAGTTCATTAAGGAAAAGCTCCTGTTCCAGCTTCGATTTGTCAGACTCCTTTAATAGATCACATATAATAGAGTGATTGATTGATTGATTTTTTATAACTGATAGTGACAGAGTGATAAGAGTAGTAGCTAAAAGATACGCAGTCGTGCAATGTGTAATACGCAAGCCCCCGGAAAGGGTAATCGTGGCCAGATTTGGCCCGGTGTCCAAGTTTTGCGAATATCTCAGCATCGTTGTGGATATGAGTGTTCCAACGCAACATAATCGCTTATGTAAATACTAGAATGAAGCCTATTTATGGAAAGGAAAGCACAGCTAACAGTATAAACAATCACTGCCATTCTTTCTACTTCTGTTCAGCAAACACGAGGTGCTATTTTATTTCTTTATTTACGTACAAGCTGACGTTTCGGCAGATTTCGCCTTCCTCAAAGCCTAGAAAGGTCAAGTTGACAGCAACCTATTCGGCCAAACTCCTCCATAACCAAACAGAGAACACGCTAAACCAAGATTTCAATCACATTGAACACAGCTCTGCGCACTCACCACTTTCTATGAGTCCTCCACTGAGTATGTCGTGTCGTGCTTTGGCCAGTATATAAACCTGTTATTCTGATGGGAAGGGCACATTACGCTTCCATGTGAATTTGGTGCGGTCGGTCTTCACACGACATACTCAGTGGAAGACTCATAGAAAGCGGTGAGTGTGCAGAGCTGTGTTCAATATGATTGAAATCTTGGTTTAGCGTTTTCTCTGTTTGGTTATGGAGGTGTTTGGCCGAATAGGTTGCTGTCAACTTGACCTTTCTAAGCTTTGAGGAAGGCGAAATCTGCCGAAACGTCAGCTTGCACGTAAATAAAGAAATAAAATAGCACCTCGTGTTTGCTGAACAGAAGTAGAAAGAATTGTTCAATCAATGCCGAGCTTAATAGAAAGTCGGACATGGGAATTACTGCCATTCTCCGGCCACAACTTAAAAAACACTACCACAACTAACTGTGAGTCTGAATTTTTTCTTCAAAAAACGAAAAAAAAAAAACGAGCTAACCGGAGCACAGTATGGCAGTCTCCAGTGTGCTACATATGGTGTCATTTTAACAGCAACTAGAGGATATTTGCTACCTTTGCAAGAAAGGTACCTGAATTTGTCTTGTAACACACCAGGGTATCCAGCATTAAAATAGCAGCAAATGGGCTACGAATTAATAAATTATTCCTAATATATGCTTGGTAAAAATATTAATTTATGGATACCATGAGCCAGAAACAATAACCTAAACCTCTTAGCCACCACAACTTCGTAGACCTTCAAATACTTCTCCTTCTATATAAACGTGGAAATGTTTAGAAACTGTAGAGATAACCTTATTTGACACTGTCCTCCTTCAATCACAGCTATTGGCCATACTGCATCGGATTTGCTCGTAATTTCAGAGCCTCCGTCAAAAATAGGTAGCCAAAAACCAGATGGCGTAAGTAGATTAATCGTATCTTTAAACATACATTTTAAAATGTTCAACTTGACCTCCACTGGATATAATGTGAAGTAAGAAGGTAAATTCATAACGTTGAATACCAGAAACCTCTTACATGAACTGTCCATGGCAACGAGCCGACCGTAATTCGTATATCCCAACCAAAGCACATTCCCTTCTTCCTCTACGGGCAAATGAATAGATTTAACACTGTCACTGCGCCGGTACCATTGTTTACCATCCATATCGTAAATATTCACAACATACTGAAAAATAGCAAGTAAACATAAAAAATATCGCCTGCAAATATGAGGTTGACCTGATAACTAGGTTGGAGTTGATCAATTTTTTCATAGTAGTCTCCACCAAACACGGAACAAATAGCTACTTGCGTTCCGAAACATGTCGCTGTGATCATTGGACCTTAAGAATACTGATGAACGCATAAATCCGACATAGGAATTTTTCTTTGTGTGAAGACAATTTAACTTAAAATACTAAACAATTTAACCGAAGTGATGCTGAGGTATTTGCAAAACTCAAGATCGCTAGTGTCTGCGGTGGGAACTGAACATGTTATTACCTTTTCCGGGGAGTAACGCGTTCACCACCAGACCATGCAGGTCCTTCGCATCCCCTGTCTCTTAGCTAGTTCTATCGATCTGTGCCATCAGCAATCACCCCTCAATGGGATTGATCTGAGGAGCACAAATCGGCATTGGACCTATTTAAGCTGAAGCTGTGGCATAAATCACGATGTCATCACTTTCCTTTACTACCTGTTCCTTTTTGAATGGCAGAGTATTACGTATTATTAGCGCAGTTAACAGCATCAACTTAGCTGGGTTCAATGCCGTATGTGCTCCCCAGATGAATTCCGTTGACGGCCGATTGCTGATAGCACTTATAGGTCAACGATACGGCTGAAAGGCGAAACGAGGGACTCGCAAGTGGGGTGGTGAACGCGGTAGTACCCAGAAAGGGTAATAGCGTGTTCGGTCCACACCGCAGACACCACCGGTCTGGAGTTTTGCAAATATTTCGCATCATTGTAGTTATATTTCACATCACACGCTGCCATAAAAGGAATGGACAGCAAGTAAAAATTGGTTACTAAAAAAATTATTTTAAATTATTTCTATGCGTACTTGGATGTGAAACGATATGTCTTTGAATCCCTGTCAAACTGAAAACCCTAAGCCTCCGCTTATCAGTGACTAAACAAATCATTTCTCGCGAGACCTGAAAGACCAGTGAATTAAGAGCCACGCGATAGGTAGCTCTCTCACATTCTCCAAGTTTCAACAATGCTAGCCACAAACCAATACGTCAACAGCACTTTCTTCCGGTGGTAGTTTAGTATTCCAACGTCGCGATTCACTATCCCACGATGAAATGTGTATCACAAGAAGTTCACTGCAAAACGCAGGGTATCCGTGATTTATGCAAACTATAGGAAATTATTCTATACGAGATATAGAAGACTTTGGCACACTTAAGAATAGATATAATAAACAAGGAATAATCAGGAGAAAGGATAATAAGCACAAATATTTAAGAAATAGGTCCATGTTCCTAAAAGCCATAAAGCAAACGGATCACCTTTCCTCATCCCTTTCTTCCTTCTTACTTGCCAAGGCGATAGCTTGGTCTGAGAGATCAGCTAACACATATTCTGTTGTTCCGTTGTCAAGAACTATGGTTGGATGGATGGACACGTCATGGAAGGAAACCTGGAAATACATCATCATTCTGCAATGGAAATAAACATTACCTACTACAGGTTCATGTGTTTGTTAAATAAGAGTGAATCCAAAAAAATATAGGGAAAAACAAATTTTTCTAAATGAGACAAGTCGGACCTCTATACTACTGCCACTTTCACTGGAATAAGTTCGAACTATTCCATAGTGGTTCCACTTCTAAAAAAAATGGATATAACAGAAGAACAAAAGCTACTTCTGCTGTGTATTAGGATCTCACCAGATAGCGCTCAGATAGGTGATTGGGAGAAGCACCGGAAACAAAAAACGATGGTATTCTTGGAGGCCGATAAAGAGCAACATGAGGAACTGCAGGCACGCAACTGAATTGAGAAATAGTTAAAGTTCTGGACCGTCAAAAGGACATTTGTGACTGAATATCATACAAATGAAATAGAACAGCTGAAAAATTGCTAGAAACATCTTCTTACTGCCGATCTCTGTTGCACACATAGCACAAATCTATGGAAAAATTAAAACGCTATGACAGGAAACAGAACAGAATAAAAAGCTTAAGAACTCGGTTATCTGATAGAAGCACAACTTCGCACCTTATTTTACTTGAGGATGCGAATTCATGACTATCGAGATGGCCATATCCATCATCTCCAAACCCATACTTCTTCTTTATAGCGCCTATATCAACGGACACTGGAAATAAAAACTGTATAAACAATAAATTAAATGTGACTGCTCTAGAGTGAAACTCAGAAATAACATACTCCTGGTATCTCCGTCATCTTCGTCATCAAAAAAACGTGTTTTCGGGGACCTACTAACATCGTCGTCTTTCTCCTAAACAAATTAACAACAACATATGTTCCAAAACTTCTACGGTGTCAAAGAGGCAATCCAATTACGTCTTTCTCTTGTTCCGTATCAATGTTGGAACATTTAGCCTTATTTTTAGCAATAGTGATTAAAAAAAGCTTTTGGCGTTGATCAATCCCTGAGGGATACGTCATGCATTCAGCTTCACTAAACACTGTTGGAGGCGACTGGATGAATATCTGGCCTTTAAAATGACTCGCAGTGGCTTATCGATGTATGGAACCAGTGCTGCTATCCTCCCAGACAAGTCTGGTACCATTTTTCCCACCACGAAGGTACGGAGGGCTTGGTAAGCCTGAGGGCGCCGGAATCGATTTCATGTGCATTGCAGAGCATCTCCGACCACTGCGTTATGCACGCCCCTTGTGACAGTAATGAAGTCAAAAACTGCAAAAATCTACTATGAGCAAAAAACCGCGTTTTGAGATACTGGGACACACTGTCGGCAACAGGTCACTAACATTTTCAGAACTGCATCCATTTTCAAGAGTTCCATGTGTTTTATAAGCACCTTCAGTCCTTATAGCAGGAATGGCATCTCTGAGTATGCATAGCCCCTCCTGAAAAACTTGAATGTATCTTTGTAAAATATCTTTGCAGAAGATGATGATTGATAAAGCTACCTTGCTAGAAGAACAAATATCCCACTATGCACTTAACATTTTTTAAAAAAATTAATTCCTCACATCAATATCAACTAACACAATATCCTTTTCACTGAACGGATTAAACTTCACGCAAGATATCGTTGCTTTCTCCTTCCTCCTGTATTCATACTGCGCCAGAACCGATCTAAGAAAACAAATAGGAACGCATCAATAACGTCAGGAGAAGTATTATGTCAATTAACTTTGTAAAAAGGAAAACGGATAAAGCTCTTAGCTTTGATCAATCCCCGAGAGATGCGCCATGTATGCGACTTCACTAAGCATCGTTGGCGGTGACTGAATGCAAATCTGGCCTTTACAATGACTCGAACTGGACTACTGATCTATCGAGCCAGCGCTGCCATCTTCCCAGAGAAGTCTGGTAACAATTTGCTGACCCCGGAGGGATGAAGTGCTTGGTGCGCCTGTAGTGCGAGGATCGATCCCATGCACGCGCCCGTCGACTAACTTTATAGTCACTAGTATAGCAGACATGAAAATGGAGAACTATGCTACGCGAAAACAAAAGCACCAAAGTCACGCGATAGTTGTCAAAGAACTCACCCATTTTCCAAGTTCCATACAAGGATTTTGTTTGAAAGTGTAGAAGAGCACAAGTATCGACCACACCTTGACAAGCACGACGTTGAAAAGACTTCCTTCAACAATACCAGTAACCATTTTTCTAAAAAAATTTGCGGAATTAATAATAAATTGCATACCAACGAAGTCCCTTCCGCCTTCAGACTATTGTAAGAAATTTTCCAGCCATCTCTCTCAATGACTTTGACACACCCTTGAGAGGGAACATATAATCGAGCTCCATCTATAGACCATGTCAAGGTATGACGGGAATTCATCAATCTGAAGTGTCTATGGGAGAAGAGGAAGAAAAGAAGAAAGCAAAATACACTAGAGACGTTTCTTAAAATATAACCGAAGATAGAACGAAAATATAGATGTGAATCTACTTCAGGCGACTAGCCAAATCTGAAGATTTCGGGAATAAGCAATTCAGAACATTGCCAGTAACCAACCAGACAAGGAAAACCGCTACCTAGATTAAAATAGAAAGGATAAAATAGAAAAGCATGACCTCTATTCCAAATGATTCGACAGAAACACCCACATTTCACTCAACATGAAACTGCAATGTAATACTAACTGATTGTGACCGATTTTATCGATGTATATAAAAAGGAGCTCGACAACGCGACACAATATTGCCAAAATTACTTAACACTATTTCAAAAGATTTCTACTCGGACAATTTCGACACTGCCTATGAAGCGATCGAGCGTTGGTTCCACCTAAAGAATACTTTCAGGGAGGAACGACATCATTTATGCTATCCCATTCAGGCTTAAAGTAATGAAGTCACCGATCGCCTCAGCTATATGTAGCAGATTTCCATATGAACGTCGGTGAAGAATGGTCGAGCTGATTTCCCGTGAAATCCCGGCATAGCCGTGTTGGGGCCTTTTCAGATTTTCATTACTGATAGGCGCCAACTCTTTTAAATTGGAGAGCGAGCTAATCTCAGACAGTTTGGTACAAATTTCCCAAGGCCAATGGAATGGAGCTTGATTGACCTGGGATTGAAAAACAAAGAAAGTATTTTAGGAAAATTGTATGTACTTATAGAGAACGACAACGCATAGACTTCTATGTATTTCCTACATCCTCAGGAGTTCCAGTGATCGAAAAGCACCGGCTGACACAGAAAAACCACCACGGTTGCGAATATAATAACGTGCTTCTCGAAAAACTGTATATACCGTCAGTATATTGAAACAGCGCTATGGAACGCTCTAAGGATAGTTATGTCAAGGAAAGTTATCAATGACACTATTGCTCATAGCACGTTGTCGACAATCGGACGGCTAAACACTTGATATGTTGCAATTACAACCACCGAAGAAAAGTGATTGGCGACTGCAGTCTACAAGATGCTAAACAGGCAACACGAATATAACTAAGCAGATGGTAAAACTTCTGTACGAAGACTTTGAACGAAGACATAACGAGGTAGCCATGAGTTGTCTTCGTTGTTGTTGTTGTTTTGTCATTGTCTTTGTTGTTGTTCCATTTGTAAGAGCACGGCTCTGAGGAAGGAAGACATAACGGTTTTCTGAGGTCTCCTTCGACGAAGCATAATCTAGGCAGCAACCACTTCGTGCAACAAGGATGTAGATTCGAATTTACTCGAATATCACGACGATCAGTATGGATGGAAACAGGTGACGCAACTGAGGCTATATACAGCAAAACAGTTTTCCACAACGAAGTACTTTAATGTAATATAATTTAGTACGAAATTTCGAGTTTTAAAAGGTTTAAAGCCTATCTAAAAAACATCAATTTCATGTTTAACTCAAAGAAGTACACGAAGTGAGCAGATAAGCAATTTACTGATTAATGTCAAGTGTACAGAACAACTGTGGACCACCTACTCGGATCTTCGGCTCCGATGAAGACGAAGACCCGAAAAGTTGGCCGAATATAGGTTGCTTGCCCACTTCGTGTAAGGTCAACAATTTAAATACATGCTGTAATACAAAAATTTCACTTACCCAATGTCTCCAAAGGATTTGAATACAAACTCCAAACAGCACCGTTTCTCATTGGATTTTATGTCGAAGACGCTGACTGTTCCGTCAGTACAAGCCACAGCGTACACCTAAATGATCGTATTGACACTAGATCAGTGAGAATCATCACATATTATCGGCAGGTCATCCAAGAAGGAATAAGCGAGTGGGCAACTAAGGAATACGAGTCTTAGGCGATGCTAAAGAATTCGGATATCAAAAGGTTCAAAGCTTATCAAGGAAACCTCAACTTCACTTCTAACTCGAAGTACGTGAATTGAGCAGATAAGTAATTCACTTGACACTTGAATAGCCCGTCCTCACTGGTTGTGCGGGCACCAGCATAATTTCCACTGTTTCGAAGTTTTAAAGTTTAGCTACTGTGGTTTCCGAGAGTTCCGAGGTCAACCTGGCCAAAGTCTACCCCAGGTCATCACCACCACAGGTAGTCGCCGCCTTTGTAAATTAGACGGAGATTTGCCACCATGCGACTAGCTTGATACCAGGGCAATGGTGGATCCTGGTACTGGTTTACTCTTAAGTGGACTTCCGGATGGAAACGCTGGACTCTTTCTCAGCATGGAACACCCTACTGGCTGGATGAACATTCCCGCTTTACATCGCAGCCCAACACCCAGGAACATCTCCCAGCCACGATGAGGCGGTAAACCATTGAAAGGAATTTACTGATTAATGCCAGCTGTATAGAACGATTATAAGAGCAGCATGTATAATCACATTCAGAAAACCTTGATAAAAGAAATGATAGGAAAATTTTAAGAAAAGGAAGGAAAGAAACCTGAGAAACAGATTGGGATCCAACAAACCTCCTCTTTTGGATCAATAGCGACACAAAGAACTTCCCCATTAGTTTCGACTCTGTCGTACAGACCATTTTTGTTCAAGTTGACTTTCTTTATGGTGAAGTCACTGAAATTCATCCCGCTGTGTCTATGAAGAAGAGGAATAAGGCGACATACCTTCCTCCTGCCACCACGTAATTCTCACTAGCATCAATACTGGTCACCTCAAGGGAGAAAGTGAAAAGTTGTCGGAAGGACTCCAGGTTATCCAAAGAACACTGACCAACGATTTTCTTATCAATACCGGTCAATAAATCAGTGGTCGTAAGTCCAACAAAGACATTTTCTCTCTGAACGTACAGCAGTTTAGGATGTGGTAGGACCTCTATAAATTTAGTAATGGGAAAAACAGCTGCTTGCAGAGTACTTACGTTCCATGCACAGCAACTATGAGTGGTATCAGCAACGGTTTTAATTTGAGGAGCTTCTCCGTCCGTTAGTGACTCTTTATCCCATACGTATACAGTGCCATCAGTACCGCAAGTGAAGAACTGAAAACAACACACCCGTAACATTGGGTCCTCTCGAATAAAAACGAAATATAATCACAATGGTGCTTAGATATTTACAAAATCCCGAACCGCTGGTGTCTGCAGTGAGGAACGAATGCGCTATTACTCTTTCCAGGGGCTAACGCGTTCACCACCACACCATGCTGTGCCCCTGGTTTCGCTGTTTGTCAGCTGGTTCTCTATCTACCACTGCCATCAGCAATCAAAGGCGAGACGAAGGACCCATATGGTGTGGTCGTGTACGTGTTAGCTCCCAGAAAGTGTAACAGCGTGTTCCACCGCCACCACAGACACTTGCGCTCCCGGAGTTTTGCAGATATCTCAGAACCACTGTGGTTGTACCACGCATGATACCATGCCATGAAAAATTGTAATAGGGAGTAAATAGAAAGTTAACATCAAAAATGTACCTTCTTGGAAATAAAGGCTCTGTCCGTGCAAATGCCTATATGGCCCTTGGTGTGAACATTGCGCACTTCCGAGAACGACATGAGGCCTAGACAGTGTCATCTGTCACATAGAACCTCCACATTATGATGTATACCGGAACGAAACGAGGCAGAGGAACATCACACCTTTTCTCGATGGGTTAAAAACACTAAGGATCCCTAAGGAATCAAGGATCACTAACGTCTCTTCTACCCCGTCATGGTGAACATGAAGCTCAAACGGTAAAAGAAGTAGTAGTAACAACTACTGGAAGAGTCATAGAAAATGGCAAGTATTCGAAGAATGCGTTTCCTAGGAGATTAAAATTTCGATTTCGGCGTTTTTCTGCTGAGGTTGTGGAAGGCTCTGGCTGACGAGATTGCAACCAACTGGACCTTTCCCGTCTATGAGGAAGGGAAATTCGTAGAGATTGCGAACACACAGTATAAGAAGAGCTTTGTGCCTACTCATTAAGAAGGCAGTAAGTATTTGACCAGCACTGAGGTCAGCAGGATGTCGCTCCTGGGAATTTCAAACGCTGATCTTTCGCGGTCGTCAGGGACTCAGGCTACAGTACCCACTGCCGAGAACTGCGTGGATGGGATTTGTGCACAAACGCGTAGTGTGGGTGGGCAGCTACGCAGCGATAGACTTCCAGCACAGAGTTGTTTTCGGCCGGTCATTTCAAGCGCATACTTCGGAAAGGATCCCTCATCAGTCCGACGCAATGCCCACAGGGGTAGGTGTTTGTTTCTTTCTCGTAAAGTAGTATAGAAATCCCGCTGTCATACCCTTGGGCTAGCTGCAACGTGAGTTTCAGAAGCTATATGGCAACAAAGACAACTTCAGGACTTTGAAGGTGTTGATAGCAGCCAAGTTGGGGAATTCCGAGCTGCAACTGGTGGGAGAGCATCCGCCTGTTGACAAGTTCCCGCTTGGTATTGTATGTTTCTAGAGTAATATATTCTTCCATCCAAATTCCTTAGTCAAGTAACTTTATATTCTCATGCTTCCCTACTAATGCGAGAGTTTTAAAGCTTTTTTTTACTAAGTGAATACTATAATTCTAGACGCCAGCGTTCGAAGGTGATGTAAACTTATTCGGTGCTGAATCGATCGCCGTCCATGTAGCTGGTTGCTCTTCCGGAGCCCCAAAGAATGTGGGTGATATATTTGCAGAACTAGAGCCTCAGCTTAACTGGGTTCACAGGCGATTTGTGTTCCTAGATCAAACCCGTTGACGGGTGATTGCTGATGGTAAAAGATCGATAGAACTAGCTGAGAGACAGGCGAAACGAAGGACCTGCATGGTATGGTGGTGAACGCGTTTCTCCCCGGAAAGGACAATAGTGCCTTCGTTCCCCACCGCAGACACCTGCAGTCCGGAGTTTTGCAAATATCTCAGCATTATAATAGTAATGTGTGTGCTTAATGGACCACACATATAGTGGAAAAGAACATATAGTTAATGATTAATATCGATAGAAATAGCTGAGAGACAGGCGAAACGAAGGATCCGCGTGGTGTGGTGGTGAACGCGTTTCTCCCCAGAAAGGACAATAACGCGTTCGATCGCCACCTCAGGCACCTGCGGTCCGGAGTTTTGCAAATATCTCAGCTTAATGTGAGTACATTTAGCACGTTGTCTTAAATGATTCATTAGCTTTTGCTTACTCCAGCGATTTTAAGTGCGCTGAAGTCGTGCAGTGGATACAGTGGGCTGAAGGTAGTCTCCTTCCCACAGTGCTGGGATATGTTCTTCCTTCTGTCTCAGCTGCAAGTATTGATAAAAAGGTATGTACGACTTTGAGCAACGGTATTACGAATAATCAGCGGTGAGCACCTAGCTTTGAACCGTCAAATTTCAGTAGTTCTTTCTTTTCCTTGAAGGTCGTTGACACGTACAAGGCGGAGCTTTTTGCCCAATTAGCACATCTTAACCAGATACTGCTGACCAAAACCTACCTCGTTGGTGAACGATTCTCTATCGCCGATATTTCGGTTGCTTTGGACCTTCTTCCTGCTTTCCAGGTTCGGTTCCAGTTATGTGGTCCCTGTTTTTAAACGAATGTACCGGTTTTTCTCTAGCATGTATTGGACGTAGCAATTCGAAAGAAATTTGGGAATGTAACGCGTTGGTTCCAAACGGTGTTACATCACCAGATCGTGAAGGAAGTTGTCGGTGAAGTTCATTTTTGTGAGAAGGTGTCACACTTTAATAGTAAGTTCTTGGATTACTAAATATGTAGTTGGAGGACCATCTTCGTAGTGAAATTCCAGGTGAGACATTCAACGAAATATCGTCGAGGCGTGTGAAGAATGTACCAAAGAAAGATGGTAGGTGTTAGTCTTTCAAGATGTTTTTTTTACTATCTATTATTTATTTCAATTATTACTTTTTGGGCACCGTTTCTCACTGTTTGGCTGACGGCCTCATTCATTTATCTTATTATGGGTTTTAAATCTTTCCGCTTGGTAGCACAGGGGCCAGCAACGGATAGTCTTATTGCGTGTCTCCTTTTTCTGTCTGATTCATAACTACTGGGATATGTTTGCTCACTTTGGCTCTAATCGATTACATATGGGAACACTGTGTAGAAACTAAAAATTGATCAATTCTTTCTACTTCTGTTTAGCAAACGGGATGTTATTTTATTTCCTTATATACGCACAAGCTGGCGTTTCGGCAGATTTCGCCTTCCTCAGAGCCTGGAAAGGTCAAATTGACTGCAATCTACATGGCCAAACACCTCCGTAACGAAACGAAAAGTGCCGAACAAAAATCTCAATCATGTTGAATACAGAGTCTTTGCACACTCACCGCTTTCTATGAGTTTTCCACTAAATATGTGACATGGAGACCAACCGCACCGAGTTCACATGGATTGATTGATTGAACAATCTCTTTTGGAGAGAATGACGTTCACATCGTATTGCCTTAACTGTGTGGGAACTTGGTAAATTAAATAGTTCATATTTGCGAAACGAGCCAGTCATATTGTCACACTCCAGATTCGTTCTTTTTTCTTCTTATTTTTGATGTGTTAAACATCTTAACCTCTAAAAAAGAGGTTGGTGTAGCGTAGTGGTTAGATATACCGTGCACAGGTGGTTGTTGCTTTAGTCAGGTGCCGGGGAAAATGAAGCCTCCCCATTCCTGAGATCGGTAAGTGGGTACCGATCTTTTCTTTGAGGTTAAAATATTGGTTTTAAACGTCGGGAAACTCTTTCAGTGCACTGTATGGGTGTCCAAATATGCGTGCCGTCTCGTTTAATTCATGGTGTGCCCTAAATGAGTGATCAACACGGACTGGTTTGTCCTTTATAATGTGGACTTCCAGAATTATCTTCGGACAAAATAACTATTTTTATGGCACTTGAAGACGATAAGGGATAATAACATAAAGCTGGTTGATCATTTGCTGTGGGATGGGCCATACATTCCACTTCGTTAAGAGTCGTTGGAGGTAAATGAATGCATATCTGGCCTTTACAATGATTTCCAGTGGCGTAGCGATGTATCGAGCCAGTGGTACGATACTTCCAGAAGGTCTGGTACCAATTTGCCGACCCATGAGGGATGGAAGGCTTGGTGAGCTTTGGGCGCGGGGATCAATCCCGTCTGTATTGCAGTGCGTCTCCGACCACTGTGCTACACGGACCCATTATAATATGGTGGTTAATTGTTGGTTGATTGTTACATTGTAAGGTATGCGTTGGCATAAACGAGCAATTCACTTGTATAAAAGTTTGTTTTGTTTCAAATCATCTATAAGCATTAGAAGTTTATGCAAAAAAATCGCTTGCGTCACATTTACTTGTCTCAGTTAGTTGGGCACCAGTAGAATCTCCATTTGTCTGTGGTGAGTGAGAAAGTTGATCAATTGGCTCTGGTTACCTAATGGACGTGAAGAACACTTAATCCTTGGTATGGTGCCTTTTTTTTACTATTGATTGATAAATGCTAACCACAGGTAGCTCGCAAGAGCCTCTCTTTTCACAGGTTTACTAAAGTTTTGCAGGTAGTTGGGCTTTCGAATTGAAGTAAACTTTAATGCAGTTCCTTTAGAATAGTAGCTGTTTTGTTTACCTTATATTCACATCTTTCAACGAGAAAGAATCTAGTATTATAGACTTGAAGGCACTGGTTTTTAACAGTGCTTTTGCTGATTTATAGTGAATACGAAGTCTTGTCAAAATGTTTGCTGTTGAATGGGATGGAGTTGCTAGAGTAAAACTTGCTTATCGAGATTGAAAGGTGCCTTTATTACCACTGCGAAGTCAGCAATCCAATCTACGCCATTGGCTTTGCGTTACCGCAGTGGTATAGAATTGTAGTGCGTTGTGAATTGAGAAAGGCACAGTTTTTGTGTTTTCTTCAAGACATTCGCATTGACTTCGAGGAGAAGTGGACGTATTTGGACCATATTGATTCTTAGTATGTGTCTATCATGTGATCCTCACATTGCAGCAGTATTTGTGTGCCATCTTTTTGGGAGAAATTCATAAATTGAAAAGGAAGGGTGGGAGTGAAGTGGTTACATTCTCTAACAACATTTATTCGTTTGAACCTGTGACTAAATTGTAATACTTTTAAAACGTTTGTTTTTAAGGGAGTAAGAAGGATTCGAAGCCGACTCTAAAGCCAAAGGAGGTTGAAATGGACGATGATGCTGATGAACCCGTTGCGGAGAAGACAAAAGATCCATTGGTCGATATGCCAAAAGAGAATTTCGTCATGGACAGTTTCAAGCGAGTATATTCAAACGAGGACACCGCTACAAAAGCGATTCCATATTTCTGGGATAATTTTGATGCAGACGCTTACTCCATCTGGTTCTGCGAATACAAGTATCCAACTGAACTTACACTCACCTTCATGAGTTGTAACCTCATTTCTGGTAGGTGTTTCTTCGTACATAAGTACAAAATTAGTTTATGTTTACACTATGTAGAATTCTCGCTACACTGGACTCATTTTCTCTCCACAGGAATGTACCAGCGCCTGGAGAAGCTTAAGAAGAATGCCTTTGCTTCGATGGTCCTTTTTGGGACAGACAATAATTCTTCTATCAGCGGAATTTGGATATGGCGAGGTCAAGATCTGGTCTTCACTTTATCTCCTGACTGGCAGGTTCGTATCGTACCGTGTTTGGTGAGGAAATATCTGATAGGAAGGAAAGTCATTTGATTTGCCCATTGGCATTTCAAGGTTACATCCTTCCAAGATGATTGCTTCATCTCGTCGGTCGAAATCATCCAATGAGTTCGTCCTCCATTATGTTTGCTACAGTTGACCTTATTCGAACACAGGAAGTTCTGCTCCACTGTTGACTTTTTAATTTAAGGTCGACTACGAGTCTTACATGTGGACTAAGCTGGACCCCACGGATGAAAAGACCAAGAAGATCGTAAACGAATATCTGATGTGGGAAGGTGATTTTGATGGAAAGAAGTTCAACCAAGGAAAAATTTTCAAGTAGATTATTGAAGTTGAAATTTTTGTTGCATTGTTATGTCGTAGAGATAAATGCATACCCAGTTTTCCAAGGCATTTTATTTGAGATTCTATTTCAATGCTCTGTAGATGTGATGTGTCTCACATGGCTTACCATGGTGATTCTTATTATAAATGCATTATTTCTTCTCAGCAACCCAGGACCTTGTCGCATAAGATCGTAAAATTTAATTCTAGTGAACGGTTGTAGTACAGTTCCAAATGGCTAAGAAGTACAGTACCCGTTGTTTATGTCCTTGAAGTGACCATCCGTGTTTTTTACAGGCAGGAACGTCTTTTTTGAGTTTACAAACCTAAATAAGCTTTGGCCAATCAACTCGGGTTATCATTAGCACGTTATGGCGGTCTCATGAGTTTTAGGTCATCTTGGAACGATGCGAGCTGAAAGGCACTAAACTTTCGTGTCCACAAGGGGTAGCGGGTGCCTGTGATGGAGACGTGAATGCGGTAGCGTTGCTGTATTAGTATTCCAGTGAAAATCATGCTCTAAAAAAAAGAAAGCGGGTTAGTGAAAAGAAACGACGGTTGGGGAAGTTGTAGCAGAGCCCACACCCAAATCAATGAATGGTGGTTACGAGAAAACGAAAAGTGGAAGTAGATGTATGACACGTGAACGTGGGTATTCCGCTTATCCAAAGTCGATGTGACTTCGAAAGGATAGTGTGGCATTTAATAAAATTTCTAGAGGAAGTGGATGATTTGTCATGAAGACATTGGTAACTATTATCAACCTCGTGTATGCTCATCAAAGAAAGAATACATATTGATTAGTGATACCGAAGTTCAGGGAAAGTCGGTTTCGAAACATTGGTAACTGTCGTTTATGACGTATACCTCGTAAAATAACGAAAATAACTGCCCTTTCAACTTCAGCAAAAAGGGCGCGTGATGCGCAGTGGTTAGAGGCGCTATCACGAAACACGTACATTCGATCCCCGCTCACCAAACGCTCCATCCCTTCGGTGTCGGCAGATTGGTACCAGACTTGCTGCGAGTATAGCAGCACTGGCTCGATACATCGGTAGGCCACCGCGAGTCATTGTAAAGGTCGGATATGCGCTGCGACGATGCTCAATGAAGTCGAATGCATGGCGCATCACTCAGGAATTGATCAACGCCGGCAGCTTTATCCTATCCTTTATTTTCATCTTCAGTGCTTTCTTGGCGGTATGGATTGACTCGAACATATAGCTCCAAGCAAACCTATAGCGCATTATCTCAGCATACAATGGACATTATTAATTGCAATGAGAGCACTAGAACTTGATGTTTGACATCTGCAAGTGTTCACACTCCACAATGAAGATATTTCAGCGCAGATGCTACTGATTAACGGGATCCCCTCTACTTATTGGAGTCGCCGTAAGCGTCGTTGATCCCTCACTTGCCTCTCTCGGTGAGTTGACCCAAAACAGGAAATTGAACTTTTTCAGGACCTGAGTTTTAAAGAGACCTAACATGAAAGTAGCATCAGACATACTGTGAGCGACATCACTCAGAAGTTATTAAAAGACCAACATAGTTGCGAGTGTGTTCATATTTCACATGTCCATATACAATTGCTCACTGGGAACCATACACAGTAAAGAAGTAACTGCTCATTCAGTTAGACTCTACTGATTTACCAGAGTTATCAGATCAGTTTAAAGTGAATCGATGGGATTGATCTAGGGCGGCCTGTTTGCTTCGGTAGTACTCTGTGAGTGCGTGTTCGACGAAGCAGTCCTTCATGCTGTCGAAGTGATTCAGGCACATCAAGTGAGAAATCGACAGTTCTTGAGTGTTATCAGGTCTCTAGAAATTTTCATCTCTTTGTAAAATAATGAAAAAAACCCTATCTTGAAGAAATTACCAGAAGGAGTATCTGAATCCTGTAGCAGCAGAATCATGATTATGTACAGACTTATTTAAACGTTTACGTTATATATAACATAGAAAGCAGTACGATCATGGAACACTAAGGACGTATAATAATTTACAAGAGCTATTTTTGAGACCCCTCCCAATGGTTCATGGTTCACCTCTTCATTGTGGCTAGGAGGTGTTCCTGGGTGTAAGGCTGCGATGTACAGCAGAGGAATTCATCTACCCAACGGCCAAGCTGGGAAGTATTCTGGCATTTCCATTAGGGAGCCTACATTAGAGGAAACCAGGACAAGAATCCACCACCGCCGCGGTATCAATCTAGTCTCTTGGTGGCAAATTTGTCTCTGATCCACAAGAGCAGCGATTGTTTGTGGTGGTGATGATATGGGGCAGACTTTTGCCTGGCTGACCCCGAGATTCCAGAACAGTACAGTGGCTAAACCAGAAAAACTCCAAAAACGTGGAAATTATGCTGGGACTCGTACAGCTAGTGAAGACGGGCCATCCAAGTATCCAAGTAAGTAGTATTTTTGAGACCTGTTAATTGTGTGCCTTAGTGCTAGCTTCTTTCCTAGGATTTTAATATAAAAGAAAGCCGAAAACTGGGTAAGTTTAAAAGAAAAACTTTAGGTGTCATTTCTAATTCAAAATTTTCAAATTGAAGGAATTTCATGTAGGGACATGTAAAATCTTTGGCGAGGTGTCATCTCACTTTTGAGATCCGTAGCAAAATATGGAAAGAATGTCTGATATTCATGATAAAACGTTGGAAGAATTACCGAGCTGAAAAGGTGGACACATATGTTTCTATTTTTCAATTTAATTGCAGTTTTAACCTTTTTTTTGTATCCCACGAACTTTTGTTAGGCAGGTTACAGTTCTTACATAAGACGAATTCAATTTTCTATTCTCATAACCGCTGATAGGATGTTCTTGTTCCCAGCTTAAAGAGATCACGTATTACATGAAAGTCTCCGAATAACTCACTGAGCTGTCGAGTGCGTTTTCATATTCTCCATCTGTTGTCGCTATTGTGTTCCCTGTATCGTTATGGGCTTTCACTCTTAATTTTCTACAGCAAGTACTGAGTAGCAGCCTTGAGTGCACTATGATTTTAGTTTTCCAATTTTGCTTACGGATCTCGTCCGTAACTGGGAGACCTTCTATAAAACTGTTGCACAGGACTTCATTCCAATCATTGGTGCCATAGGAATAGAAATGCGAATGAGGAAATGGAAGTGCACATCTTACGGAACTATTCTCAAATGTTAACTCGTAGCAAGGAAATCCTTTAATTCGTAGGCAAGACGATCGCAGCTGGAAACGCGAATACCTAAACGGTAGGACTCGTGCTAGTACATTCCGCTCCGGGCCAACCAAGCCTCTCATCCATCCGGGGTCAAGAAATTGGTACCGAACTTGTCCGGTGAAAATCACTCTCTGCAAAGAGGAACGCTCCAACCCGGCTATGTAATGAATAAAGAGAATCGACTCGACAAGCATTCTACGAATTCAAGATTACATGAAAATTTTCAAGCAGTAGCCAAAGCCATACGTAAAAGTTGGAAGACCTTCGTGAATAATGGATGCGAGGAAAGGAATCGAATGTCAGAAGTGCTGGGATTCGCAGAATAGACGTGAAGACGAGTCATTTAAAAACAGAAAAAAGGACTCGTTTGTATAAAATCACTTCTTGAGCAAAAGGTGGAGTCCGTTTGAGGTAGGTGTTGTTCCATCTTTTTACACCTGATCAGAATACCGCTTTCTTTGTTCGACGATTTACCTTAACCACAAAATGGAAGGTGTATACAGTTATGCAAAACGAAGAAAACAAGCAGTACTGAGCGTTAGTATTTATATTTCCAAGTACAACTGGCGCCAAAGCATGGATCCGACTCAGGGTAGCATGACTGTAGTGGGTCTCCGAGTCTCTGCCGAGTATGTTGTTTTTGACCCACAGATAATTTCTAAATGCTTATCAGGGAAAAATGAGGAGTTTCTGGAAAAGAGAAGACAATTGAGACTAAATCCTGCGGCAACACTTTGAACAGATCGTTTTCAACGCCATTTGCCGGTAGACAATGCAAGTAAAGATTTTTATTTACACCGAATAGCGAGGATTTTTTGTGGTTTACTCCTTACGCAGTCATGGAAGCCCTGGACAATCAGGGAGTCTATACTTAATATATAGAGATTCTTCATGGGCTGTATAAAAATTTCACAACGAAGATATCACCATTCTACAACGACATTAACATTGACGTTAAAAGAGGGGTTAGGCAAGGCGATACCATCACGCCAAAATTATTTGCCGCCACCCTCCAGAACGTCATGTGAACATTGGAATGGAATAAAATGGGGTGAAAGTCGATGGTCAGCAGTTACATCATCGTCGCTTTGCTGATGATGTCGTTCTTATAACAGCAAACACTAACCAAGCGGAACGAATGCTTCCCGACTTTGATAAAGCCTGTGGAAGAATTGGTCTTCCACTAAATCTCACAAAAACGATTTCCATGAGGAACGGATTGGTTTTACTTGCCCCGTGCTCAACGGAAGAAATATTTCCGAATACTCTAGTTGCGTCTGCCTAGGTCGAACAATCAACATGTTGAACGACTTAATTCCAGAGTTGAGCAGAGGGAAACCAGCGGCTTGGGGAACATTCAAGTGCATCGAAGATGTAGTGAAGACAACGGAGAACACCCGACTGCCCACCTTTTCGACTCAACGGTATTTCCTCCCTTAACATATGCGTTAGAAACCTGGTCGCTGCGTAAAAGGATGAAAACTCAATGTTATTGAACGCTCAGTCGAAATGAGTCACACAAGTAAGGGAAGGGATCCGAGACCTCGACCTGCATCAGCGATGAGAAATCTATGATGCCGTTTTGTAGATAAATTCCTGTGGATGTCATATGTACTGCAGGTGAACCACCGGCCCGAAGGTCAGAGTTCTTCACGAAAAGCCAACAGGAAGGTTATGTTGCTCAACGAGTCCCTAGAGCAAGCAGAACTTACTGGGCTACTCTTGTACGCGACAGGGGAAATGGAAGATTTATTGGCGTCTGCTTGAGTTACTCGACGATCAACGCGACT